ATGACAGTACATAATATTTTACTAGATATTTCTCGAGATCTAAAGGCAATCTAAAGGCTTAACTAGGTTAATTAGGCAAGTTGGGGTACTTAGGCAAGTCATTGTATAAAAATAAAATTATATATTATAGTATATAATTATTTTTTTAATATATATAATATATACAAAATTTAAAACTGATTTTAATCTAGCCAAAATAAAACAAAAACTTTTTCCTGAAGAAAAAAATATTATAGGGAACACTGTGAAACGTCTTGCAGTATTAAACATCATTTGGGAAATAAAAAAATAAATAAACAATTCACAGGAGGGTTAATAGTTTTGACTGCATATTACATTTATAATATACATTATGTACAATATATATGTATATATGTATATATATATATTTAAAGAGCCCATATTATACATGAAAAAGGGTCATATTTCGGTTATATGGATCTCCAACAACATACTGATATGCATAGTAAAGTATACCCACTTTCATGGTCTTACAATATGCATTTATTTTTACCCAATTTTCCTAGCGACTCCTATATGAATCGTTCAGCGATTCATTTGTTACCAAAGCCCTCCTTAGCGCGAAGCTAATCTGCTCTGATTGGACCGATGACAGCCTGTTGCGATTGGTTGACAGCGTTCAGCGCTAGACAAATGCCCAGTGCTAGACAAATGCCCAGCGTGGTTTGAAAAGCCCCCGGTGGACGGGCCCACGCGATAACCCCGTGACTGTCATAACCCCCAGCATGGGAAGTATGAACCGCACTTAGCAGTGAAAATAAAACCGATAGCGTGCACATCATTTACCGAGCGTGATTTCTGTGACCAAGCTTTTCTCCCTTCTCAGCTGTAACTTAGATCATATCTATTTGCAATTATTGCTGTGGCACCTCTTGCGTGAAGTGTTATATGTTCCCGGGGCTTACCTGTACTCTGCTTTGCCCAAAGATCCCATACCCAGCCAGGGGGTTGTAATGCCCACCAGCGCTCCTCCTCAGCGTGTAGCAGGCTGCCTTTGTGCCTAATAAACTGGCCCTATTTTGCACGCACCCCGTGTATTGTCTGCCCATTCTCACAAGTCTTCCAATAATATCCAGGTAAGCACAGCTTGACTCATGACTTCAGGATCTGCTTGTCTTCACTGCCGTGCTAGTGGGCAGGGTGCAGGTTTAAATTTTCCCGGGTTTGCGCCCACAACAATTATGTTTCGTAGTCAGACGATATGAAGACGATTCATTCTAACCACTATGAGTCGACTCTTTTTTTAGATATATATACATATACACTGCATATAGTTAGAGGACATATCCAAGTACTTCTCCAATTCACCTTCTTAGGACCATCATCCTCTGCTAGCAGTGCTGATCTCTTTTTCTCCTCTTCCTTTTTCTGGAGCCCCTCTTTTGTCAATGGGTTACAGTTGTTGTGTCCAGGCAACAAACGGAAGTAGCGGTTTTTCTCTGGGTCGAAGTAGAAGCCAGGCAACTCTGTAAGTGATAATGGTTACTTTCATGATTTTTGACTACTGACAATAAAATCTCCAAAGGGTTAAAGCAAAGCATAAGTTTACCTGGTGCAGACGAGGGTGCTGATGAGGATGCAGAGGACGAACCTGCATCACTTGCTGTCCTGTCAGACCTAGAAAAAAAAAAAAAAACTCACTACATGAAGGCTTCTTGTTGTAAAAAATCCTGATTAAAAAATGAGGGGGGTTGTAAGAATCATTTCAGTCAGGCTCAATTAAAACAAGAAGTATCGGATGACATGTCAAAAGACAACATGTAAAGATTAAAGTCAGAGCACATCAGTGTTGTTTTAAATCTTTATAAATTGGCAACATCTTTCATATCACATATCATTAAATTGAGGTAAAGTTAGTTTTATATTGGCACAATGGACTAGCTTAATAATAAAATTTCAGAAAAGTATTCACTGCAAATTTTAAATGGGTAAATCATACTAGCAGCCACCATCAAAAAGGTACAATTAACAAATATTTAATACAAACTTACTTTAGTGAAGAAACACACAGGGTAATGACAGAAACTATTGAATTAATTTTGCAGAACCATTTTTTTTAATATTTGATTTTAAAATGATGTCTTGATCCCTTTAGACTGAACGACCTCTAATAAGCTTCATATTCAGACAAACGTCCATTATTAGAAAAAAAACATTAAGACTTTGAATATAACCTCCATCACTTAATTGTATATACCAAGAAAAGTGTTTTACATCTCAACTTCATATATATATATATATATATATATATATATATATATATATATATATATATATATATATATATACAGTTGAAGCCAGAATTATTAGCCCCATTTTGATTTTTTTTTTCTTTTTTAAATATTTCCCAAATGATTTTTAACAGAGCAAGGAAATTTTCACAGTATGTCTGATAATATTTTTTCTTGTGGAGAAATTTTTATGTGTTTTATTTCGGCTAGAATACAAACAGTTTTGAATTTAAAAAAAAAAATTTTTGGGACAAAATTTTTAGCCCCTTTAAACTTAAAAGCCCCTTTTTTTTCGATAGTCTACAAAACAAACCATCATTATACAATAACTTGTCTAATTACCCTAACCTGCCTAGTTAACCCAGTTGAGCCTTTAAATGTCACTTTAAGCTGTATAGAAGTGTCTTGAAAAATATCAAGTTAAATATTATTTACTGTCATCATGACAAAGATAAAATAAATCAGTAATTAGAAATAAGTTTTTAAAACTATTATGCTTAGAAATGTGCTGAAACAATATTCCCTCCATTAACCAGAAATTGGGGAAAAAAATAAACGGGCGTTAATAATTCACAGGAGCTAATAATTCTGACTTCAACTGTGTGTGTGTGTGTGTATATATATATATATATATATATATACACACACACAGACACGCACACACACACACATACACATACATACATACATTTATTTCAAGGTAAAGTTCAATAATAAAATCAGTCTGAATGTCAGTTCTTTTAATCTACAGTTACATAAAACACTAAAGGCACTTCATTTACATTTAATATGCTTTCAGGCATTTACAATCACTATTGATTAAGTGATTGTAATTTAATCATAATAAAGACACAGAATGGGACAGTTGTTGCAAGAACGATTACAAATGCAGCCGCAAGTTAAAGAGAATTATGTATATTATTTACTAAACTATCCATAAGTTGTATTTCATTAATATCTACTCCTACCCCAACCCTCACAGTTATATACAAACAGTAATTATACAGAGAATTAGTCATATTATTTATTAAATAACCCATTAAATTTAATTTTATTAACATCTACCCCTACCCTAAACCCAACTCACACAAAGATGTAAAATTTATACAGCGTATTATTCATAATATTTATTAAATTACCCATTAAACTGTATTTTATTAACATCTACCCCTACCCTGAACTCAACTCTCACAGTAATGTAAAACAGTAATTGCTGTACGGTAATTGCATTATTGTAACAACATATATAATTCTTGTTAACTTCCAGCCACAGAGGTCTCCTTTTTAGATTTTGGGACAAGTGGGACATCTCATCCCTGAGCCTAAAATCTATTTCCAGTTACACATGCCGGAGTAAAATTAGGCAAAACTGCTGTCTCTGTGTACTCAATGCTAAAGTATGAACATTGTTTTGTAATGCAGCACACGTGTTAAAAGATTAGTTCACTCATATTGTTGTTTCACACCTGTATGTCTTTCTTCTTTGGAACACAAAATGAGATGTGACAGCATAACTCACCATTCACTCTGATTGTATATTTTGCCCAAACAATGAACACAAACATTACAGAACAACCTCATTGTCATTCTTGACATCTCCTTTTGTGTTCCACAGAAAAAGTCAAACAGGTTTGAAACGAGATGAGGGTAAGTAGATTTTGAGGATAGGACGATAGTTACCCGTATTCCTGCTCGTCGTGGTCTGACCGGGGTCTCCTCCGCCACTGGGACTGGTTTTGCTGTCGGTGACGGTCGCGGCCCCGTGCTCGCCAGTTTCCACGCTTCATTTCTGCTTGTCAGCAGCCATGCCAGTGTATCTGCTAAAACATTATTGTCATTATATTCAAATAAAGAGGACACTGTGTATTCAATTTTTTTTAGTTTTTGAATATATAAAACTAAACCTAAACGTATTGTGTGACTTAACGTTAACAAACTGCCAACAGAAAAACAAGCAAACAAACAAAAAACAAAACACTGATTTGTTATGGAGCTGTACCAGGAGCTAACACGCTAAAACTACTATTACGAGCATTCACGAGGCACGTTCGTTTATGTTACAGGTTACACCCGCATACGAGAATACCGTAATGGTTTATAAACCGTAATAACATTGTGTAAATGGAGAGTTTTTATAAACTTACCAGAAAGAGATGCCAGTCGTGGTGACCTCTTCCTGTTTAGAAAATATTACTTCCTCACGACACCAGAAATTCCCGCCCCCTTTTTGTTCATTGGTCAAACCATGAGACTGTGTGAAATTACAATTATCCGATTGAACAAAGAGCTGTCAATCACTTTCTGAGCATTTAAAGCTAAAATAATTGATAAAAATATAAATAAATGTTTTAATGTTTACAAGTTTTTTTTAATTGGAGTTGTTTAGGTATTAACGTTTAAAATATAATCTGATAAACAATAATTGTGATAGACTTATATGCTATTTTATATTCTATTCATATGTTTAATATTCAAATATATTTCATTGGTTACAATTGTGTATGGGGCTTTTTATATTGAAGCACAATAATGGATAAAGCTACAATGCAATTAAAATAAATATTTGGTTCATAGTTAAAACAAACAGGTGAAGGCTAAAGGCTACAGAGATGCATCTAAAAAATCTACTAAAATAACATTGCTTTATTTCTTGTTTATATTTGCTATGCAAGTACTCTAAGTAAAGATAATAATGTAATTCTTATAATTTTGACAGCTCTTGGAAGCCACGCCCAGATTTTGATTCCCCGTATTGTATTGGCCAGACCGCCGGACACTGAGGTCCGTATTGGCTGTTTTTCTTTCACAAGGATCCCAAAGAACTCAGATTTGGAATATTGGGTTACAGTGTGGCAAAATGGCGACTGTCATTCAGAATCCGCTGAAAGCGTAAGTAATTATAAATATTATTTTCGCTTGTTTTCGAAAATGTGTTGCACTCCGCGTGTTTTAGAGTGTGGGTGCAAATTGTGTCTTGAAATTAAACTGTACACGCGGTGCATTTTGTATATCAGTAAATTCTGTCCTAAACGAATAACTGTTTAATCCACCTATTTCCTCTTTGTGTGGGTGTGTAATGTATATGTTCATATGTAAATACATTTGAAGCGTTGTGTTCGGACATTCGTTCTGCAAATATGCAACGTGTGTCTCAGCATTCAGCCTCTGTTGGTCAGTGTTAGTGCAGCATTATTTCGGATGCAATGCTTTGCGAGTGTAACGTTACAGACTCCGTTGACTTGTTTGCAGGACAGCCAGATAAAGCCTTATAAAATCTGCCGGGATGAGCTGTCATATGACTGCACGAGCACGATGTGTTTGTTTGCTGAACAACTTGCACCGTAAAATAATCTTTTAAATATTAAAATGCTTGCTGGTGAAGTAAAACGTTTGCATGGTTCGGTTGCATTGATGTCTAAAAATGCCTATAGGAAAGCAACGTATAATTCCCCCGTCGTGGCCTATGGAGAACTGCTTGACAGATAACGCTCACATACACATCGTGACAAGTTAAAGAACGAGTTTTGTGGTCGACATATTAAATATGTGGATTTTCTTCACAGGAATTCGCCGGGTAACTTTCTTTAGCTCATTCGTATAGCTTTCAGTTGTCAGCTCTTTTTTTGTAGACACGCGTAATAATAAACATTATTGTTTATTATTTGCTGTACGTTGACATTTCCGTCGTGTTGTTTGAATAAACGCCGTGCATTTGTAAAGAAGAATTATAGTTACACAAAACAGGATAATAAGGATCAGTAAGTCCAGAGATAAGTGATGGATAACAATGGAATTCGCTGTCCTGTTCTCTCTTGTTTGGCTGTTGAAGTGCAGAGCTGATTTTTCTGCCATGTGACAGAATTCCTGCTTCTATTACATTACATTTGTTTAAGAGGTCAGAAGAGTTTGTCCTTTTGGTTATTAGCTGAGAAGTCCCAAGGTGAAAGAATTAGTACCTTCTGGGAATTAGTGTTTTAAATATCTTAGAAATCTGGAGAAAGAAATTAGAACAAGAACAATAAACAAATATTAAATATAATTTATTTATGTACAGTGCTCAGCATATATGAGTACACCCCCCACAAATCTCTTCTTTAAGTTAATATTTTCTATAGGATCTTTACAATACTATATTTGTGCATATACATTAGTTTAGTCAGTACTGAAGCCAAATCTGGAGCTTATCTAACAAAATAACTTACGATAATGGTTAAAAAATTTGTAGCCCAAACTTACATGTTTGGGAAAAATATTAAATAACTTTTTCAAAAATAGCAAAAGTCAAGAGAAACAAAAAATATACATAATTTTGTTGAAATGTTGTAGTTTGTCTTTTTTTTTTGCTATGATTAGCATGAATTTAAATTTATTATCTTTCCATTTTTAAAGATTTTCTGTGACTAAAATATTAATTATATATATATATATATATATATATATATATATATATATATATATATATATATATATATATAGACAATAAACAATAACTTGTCTAATCACCCTAACCTGCCTAGTTAACCTAATTAACCTAGTTAAGCCTTTAAATATCACTTTAAGCTGTATATGATTGTCTTGAAAAGTATGTAGTCAAATATTATTTACTGTAATCATGGCAAGGATAAAATAAATCAGTTATTAGAAATGAGTTATTAAAACTATTATGATTATTATGTTTCAAATCTTCTCTCCATTACACAGAAATTGGGGAAAAAATAAACATGGGCTAATAATTCAGGGGGTTTAATAATTCTGACTTTAACTGTACTTATTGCACGACTACAGAAGCTAATACTGTATTAGCTGTACTATAATTAACATTAATTACTAAGTTTTTTTATTTGCCATGTCATATTCTGAGAAGTGAGATATGACTGCAACTGGTGCAAATGGTTGGATGAAAGGATTGGATTCTTACCAGTCTAAATCATAGTTGCTCGTGTGATTCATCTCCATTCAAACTCAAGCTGATTTGTCTATGTAAGTGTGTACACTGAGGGGGGATGCACCATCTCTAAATGCTGTGGTAGAGCAGATTAGCAATATCCCAGGATCCCTCAGTACCCATCTGTTCTGATGACTAGCCGCAGAGATGTCAGTGGGCAAGAGACGGAGCCCCATCTGCTCCAGATCAGGCACATAAAGCTCCCCTCCCGTCCCACCAAAACGACATCAGGGGGTCAACAAGAGCAGGAAAAGGAGCTATACACACCTGTCCCAACATATTTTTAAAATGTTTTTGCCCTCTTATTAGCTCTGTAATAATAATAATAACAACAACAACAACAGTAAATAATAATAATAATAATAATAATAATAATAGTAATAATAATAATAATAATGTAATAATGGGCTGTGTGATTTGGGGAAAATATGAAATTGCGATTTTATTGACAGATATTGCGATTTCGATTTGATCTGCGATTCAATTTTGTAATTAAGCTTCAGCTCAATAAACTGTATTGTAGCTTCTTACTGGTAAAATGCAGTGAGTGTTTGTTAAAAAGGAACTGAAAAGACATGAACTTACTCCAACATTTATTCAAACTTATTTTTAAATATTTAAAAATGAAACACAAATTTTTCTCTAAAGCAAATAGTAAACACAAATAAAACGACCTTTACTATCTGTAAATAAGTTGAACTCAAATTAGGGAGATAGTGTAGCTTATTATAAAAACAACAAAGCAAACTAACATGGCTGAAACAACTCTGAAATTGTACTGTGCTGTGGCTTGCTAATAGATTGAGTGTCACTGGCAATACTTTCAGTTGACCTTTTAGCAAGACACTCCTCATATAGCCGCATGTGGTGCTTTTTTAGGTACTAGTTGTATTTCTTCGTGGAAACTTTATTTATTTTTTTTCACCAGTTCTCACAAATTACCTGTTTTTGTTCGGTGTCTGTGAATTTGAAACCAAAATATTCCCATATTACCAATGTCCTGTTTTTCTTTTATATTAATTCATCTGTCAATGCTTCTGAAGCAGCAAAGGTCATCATCCCACTTGTCCATGCTTTTCTGTTTGTTTTCTTTCTTGTTTGTTTGTTTTTGTGGACATTCAACATAGTTTGGTTGCGCAATTCTGATTGGGGAGAACGCAAGTATGCTTAATCAATTGGCTAATAAGACTATCACACACTGACGACAGTTACACATTTGCTCTGGGCGGGGGGGGAATTTAACAACACATTCATATCGCAGCCTCTTGCGATTAGCTAATTGCAACGTTTCAAATTGTGATTGCTATTCGATTCGAGCACAGCCGTGAGCGGGTATGCAAAGGCTGCGCCGGACCGTATGCGTGCGCTTGTCAGAATTATAATATCAAAATAATTTATAAATAAGTATAAATCATAATATAATAAGTATAAATTAGCATTGACAAATCAGGGTCACGCGGTAGAAAAAGTAATTGATCTGGAAAAATTTGATGGATTATAGCATCATTATAGCATAAGTGTCGATTTTGATTACTTTTCGATTAATCAACAACCAATTAAAAGTTTATATATATATTTATATATGTGTGTCTGTATATGTATATATATATATATATATATATATATATATATATATATATATATATATATATATATATATATATATATATACTTTTATGCATTGGTTATAAACTAACTGTTATTTTATAATTATAATATATCGCATTTATGTAATTTCATAAGCTGCTACTAGGTGTTATATGCTGTGGCTACGCTTTCCCTTCTTCTCTAAATGTTATTATGTTGCCCAGGCAAATAATGTGTTTTTGTCTGGTTGTTTGTTCGTTGTGAATGAGATTACTTCCCACCACTGTTAAAAATACAAGTGTTTTTTTTTTTGCAGTCAAATATACCGTGTTCAGCAGTGTTTATTAGTGTCTGGAGAGCAGGGTCAGGTGGTTTGTGTTGGTTTCGTCTCAAATAAATCGAGAGGTGGGGGCAGTGAGGGGGTGAATATGTGGGGTTTAGGTTAAAGCGCTTGTGGTCGCCTGTTCCCCTCCCCCCCGTCTTCGTCTGTCTAGATGCATTTCGCATTACAAACTGCACTACATACACCATTGAGCCCGAGGTCTTTGTGTGTTCAGGAACAGGGGTTTGTGGTGTAGACTCCAATGTACAGTTTAACATTTGTTTATAAAATACAAATATGTTTATAATCTGCCAAAATGCTATGATTTTTAAAAATTATATACTCAAGTAGCTGAAAGCAAGCATATTTTACAAGCTCATTTAATGATCCATTTGAGAACAGGCCCTTACATTAGCATTTTTAAAATAAATGTTTGCCAGCAAGCCTGATAACCACACACTCCAGGAGTTGTTGAAGCTCTTCTGGCCTTTCTCTCATGCTCAAGGCTCTTTCTTTATCCAGCACTGAGGGGTTTCTCTCAGAATGTGAGTGATATCATGAAAGCACAGCAGTCTGATGGGGCACCTATGTTTAGCTTCCGCACAGCCTAGATTTGCTTCAAACTCTTTAAGACTGACTGAAGAGCTTCAGAGTAGAGCTGATTTTTTCACTTCATTTGCATTACAGTCATTCATTATTGCATGGATTCATAATGAATCTTAAAAATGAGAGATGAGAACAGCTTAAATGTGAGCTGTTAGAAGAGAAAAGGCATACACAGAATAGGCATCTTGTAAATAGTTGCATTATTAATATGTGAGTGAATATAAGAATGAATTATTTTTGTGTCATGTACAGTAATCATTAAATATTAGGGTGATACAGTGGCTCAGGGGTTAACACTGTCGCCTCACAGCAAGAAAGTCATTGGTTCGAGTCCGGGCTGGGTCAGTTGGCATTTCTGTATGAGTTTGCATGTTCTTCCCATGTTAGCGTGGGTTTTCTCTGGGTGCTCCGGTTTCCCCCCCACAGTCC